ACTAACAGCCACTAATATTTGCTGTCTAGTAATATTTGTTGTTTGGTCGGCTTGGATTAATGTTTTTAATCTGGTGGCTTTGACTTCAGTAATTATTTTTAGGTCTGTGTTTATAAATGAGTAGATGGCTGCATGGAGGGAAGGATCATAGGTTTGTACAAAGATAGGTTTAAAATCTTTCTTAACTGTCGGCAGAGATGGATTTGATTTGCAATGGATAAAAGCCACCACATAAAGTTTTAAACACGTGTTGAGCTGTGTTTAATTTTTTCAACAGGAACAACTCATCTAAATTCAAGGCTGTCATCTCCAGAAGTACTTTGATCTCTTCAGGATCTCCTGCTCTCTACCATCTGAAACCAAAGAAAGAGGAGTTTGGAACTCTGGCAAAAATGACTGTTGGAGAAAAAAATCCAAACAAGACAAATAAAACAATCTTGCTTGTGGGTGAAAAAGGAGCAGAAAAATCTACTCTGATAAACGCTCTTATCAACTACACCATGGGAGTAAGGTTGGAGGATGGGGTCTGGTTTCATATCGTAGAGGGGGAGAAAAATGAAAACCAGACAGAAAGTCAGTCATCAAATGTGGTTGTGTACGAGATTTTTGGCTTTGAAGATGAAACTCTACCCTACTCTCTGACCATCATCGATACTCCTGGATTTGGAGACACCAGAGGGATTGAACATGATGCAAACGTCAGTCAACAATTATTGGACTTGTTTCGATTGGAGGATGGAATTCATGAAGTTCATGCAGTGGGTCTGGTGATGAAGGCGACAGATAATCGACTGAGTGAGCGACTGATCTACATATTTAATTCAGTGATGTCTCTGTTTGGAAAAGATGTGGAGAAAAACATTGTAGCTCTCATCACACACTCAGGTGGAAGAAGACCTAAAAATGCTCTCAAAGCTCTTGAAGTAGCAAACATTAAATGTGCCACAAACGAAAAGAATAAGCCTGCTCACTTCCTGTTTGATAACTGCCAGGATGAAGCACGAGCAGAGAATGAGCTAGAGGAACTTGAGCATTCCTATGATGTCACACAAAAAGGAATCAAGCAGTTGATGTGTTTCATAGCAGAACTTGAACCTCAGCAGCTGGACAAAACTGTGGATGTTTTGAACACACGCATCCAACTGACAGCCTGCTTTCAAAACTTGCAAGACAGAATTGAGAAGATTGATTTGAAGATCAGTGAGATTAAAAAGACAGAGGAAGATGTGAAGCTCTATGAAAAAGGCTTGAATAATGATGAAAACTTCACCGTGGAAACTGGTGAAGTTTATAAAGATAAAGAAACTGTTCCAAGTGGAAAGAGATGGTTTGGTTTTTTTAAAGGAGCTGTCTCTTGTACTGTCTGTGAGGAGACCTGTCACTATCCATGTACAATTGCCAAGACTCCTGGAAAGTGTGAGGTTATTCAAGATGGCAACTGCATTGTTTGTACCAAGAAGTGTCCTGAAGAAAAACATGTGAAAGACACCTGGAGATATGTGAACAAGACAAGGAAAGTGAAAAAGACCATGGAAATCTTGAAAAGAACATATGAAGTAAACCAAGAGGAGAAAAAGACCCTTTTGTCATCTCTTGAAAAGGAGAAAGAAAAGCTCGATGAGGAGAAGAATACTCTGGTGAATGAGTCTTACCAGCTTGTTCTCAAGCTGGAGAAGATCGCCCTGAATGTTGATTCATTGTCCACCAATGTCCATCTGAACATCCTGATTGAGAAGATGATGGAGAAAGGAGAAACAGAAAAGGTTGAGAAACTAATGAAGATAAAAGCCAGCCAGAGTAAAGGAGTCCAGACAGTGCTGCAATATTGTTACAGCAAAGTAACATCAGCTGGAAGAGCAGCATATAACTATGTCTTCAAAGCTGGCCCAGACAGCAGTGTAGACTAGAAGTTCTGCACTCTTAATTTAGATGATTAAACATCAATAAAAAAAATCTATTTCTTTTTTAAGACATTTGATGTTCATTTCATTACCAAATTAGAAAATAGATTTAATTAAAAGGAGAGTAGAAACCTTTCTACTGTACCTGGACAGGGGCTTAGAGACACTTGATTTCCCAGGTATCTTTTTCATGTAGAACAACCTTTATCTCTAATTAGCTTTTAACATAAGATTGTAAATACTTTATCCACCCCATATTTGGGAAACACTTCTGTTTAATCAGTATAAAATAAAGAAAAAAATATGAAAACAACAATAATAATATTAATAATACAGGAAGCATGATGCAGTGGTTAGTACAACAGAATGGTCCTGGGTTGAAATCCAGGCTAATTCCCTTGAGATGACTCCACAAAATTGTCAAATAGTTCTCCGTACTCCTCCCATGAGTCATACACCCAGTCACTGCAGAATCATCAGAATATGACATTAACCCAGAGTTGTCCTGACGTTGAACAGGAATGGAGAAGTCGTAGACAGAGGACTGCCCAGTCTCACATACTGTGCCCAGTCTGTCAGCTTGTCAGTAATCTGTGAGATATGTGTAGGTGAGATGTGTGTCTCTTTGGAACCTGTAGATGGCAATAATCACCTTTCTATTCTCATGGCTGCTCCCTGTTTGCTTTGCTGTATTGCAATTGAAAAAATCCAATATCAAAGACACTTCTGTAAAGCTCCTGAATCATGCTCTTCAGATACACCTGTTGTCCCTATCTGACTCTCCTGGAACTGTCAGAAGATCAAGTGTGAAGACGAATCCACACATGAAGAGACTAGCAGTGATGTGGCAACCAGAGACCATGGAAACTCACTAAAATCCATCCAGGAAAACGGTTATGAATGACAAACAAATCACTACAAATATGGATGGAGCTTAAAGTTAGACTGAAATGCTAGCATTCCTTTATTGATGCTAACATATTCAAAAAGTACATAGAATGAGGTCTGTTAAGTAAAGCTGGCATGTTTTATTCCTTAGCTGTTTCCACATTAAATCTTCTCACTTTTCCATGAAATCAGTTTGCTCAGTGTCTTTATTCAACTATCAGCTGCAGTTTACAGTTTAACATTTTATCTGCTTTACTGGAAGTGTTTCAGGTCACACACACACTCAGCAAACAAACACAAACCTCTACAAGAGCTGAGAAGTCATGTTTAATGCAGAGATGCACAGTTCAAACCCGCTTTTTTACTACCATGTTTCACATTCTCCACAAATCAACTTCTCTCCACATATCTTAGTTTCTCCCACCAGAGATGCAAGTATAGGAGACAAGGAAGAAACACAAGGACAAGAGGAATCAAAGCAGCAGGCATTTAATGAAATGAGACATCATCACCTTGGTTTTTGTATTTTAAAGTTGTGCCATTAATGTTTTACAGCAGCTGCATCATAAATAGTTTAATCTGCTGTGTTTATTATCTCGGGAATAATAGTGCTCTTGTTTCATGTTTATTTACACTTTTAATTAAATCCAAAGCATGGATCAGTGATACAGATATCAGAGCTTCTTTAATCCCAAACTCAAAACCAGTGAAGGGCAGAAAATGTGATCATCTCAAGGAACTGAAAAAGCTTCTAAAAAGAACAAGATGTTAAAGTAGTGCTTAATCTTAGCAAGAACTCTGTTATTTGTTAGTGTGTTGTGATGGAGCTGCTTAACCGGATATATTTGTTTACATATTCCACTCTCCGTGTCCCCAGTGTTGAAATGAGCAGTCATTTCTTTCTGTCAGTGTGTCATCATGCGGTTTAACAAGATTAAAGTCCTCAGCAAAAAGGGTCTCCATCCTCTCCAGTTCCTACAAATGTATACACGCATCAATATTCTCTTTGGACAAGAATGAAATCATTTTATTTAAAATTCCGCCTGGTCTCGTGTCTCTGTGTTTCTATAAATAACGAGCCGACATTTTCCTCACCACGCCAGCGATCAGCTCAATGGAGCCTCAGTTTACCTGCATACATTCTGCTCACCTATCAGCTGTTTAACACCTGCTGCTGATTCAGGAAACATGCCTATTGTCACGGTCTGTAGTAGGACTCAGGCGCAGAGCAGAGTTCAATACAAGGAACAACATTTATTTACAAAGTCACCAGGTGTACATATATACAGTGGGGGAATAGTGGGGGTCCAAGGTCCAAAGGGAAAATCCGGTAAGGAAATTACTTTCACTCCCAGTCCTCTCTTCACACACGTTCACACGTCGGGTCGGTCACGGGTCCAGGGACACTGTGCACAGGGAAAGTGGGTTACACTAATGCAGAAAATCATAGGGAAATTCACAGAGCTAGAGATACACAAAGCTGAGGTTTACTTACGTGTCTCGCACAATCATCCAGCGATGAGAGTGTCTGTGTCCCGGCCTTAAGTGTCCAACCCGTAATTGGAGCCTGATGAGACACAGGTGTGTGTGTGCTGAGGCGAGAGCCCACAGTGAGCTCCGCCCCGGCGGGGAGGCGAGAGGAGAATGTACACAAAAACACATGTGGCCTTGTGGGGCCGGCCGGGCAGACACGGGGACCATGACACCTACGTTACCTGGTGATAGTCACAGTTTAACATGGGCAGCTGCAGCTCAATATAACATAATGTCGGCGCAATATTGTGTACAAGATAAGTAAATGAAGTTTGTTTCCTGAGCGCAAAGCTGCTGGAGCTTGTGTTTAAATTTAAATGCACCAAGGGGACAGTCAGAGGGAACTCGGGACAACTGGAGACATTTAAGGATGCAAGGACTGACAGAGTCAGAGAAGAAATCTCATCGTGACGTGTAAAGTTTATCTTGCCTGGCTGGGCAGCTCTGTGGGTGCTCAGCACCCCCAAAGCTCTGATCCTAGAATCGCCCCTCGTTCAAATACTACAATGAGATGCTCCCACACACATACACAGCAGGAAGTGAACAAACAGGGGCTGTTAATAGAATTCCATGCATGTTTCTAGGTCAGTCAAACAGCCTGGAGCTACACAATTGAATTCCACCAATCAGAGAGTCTGTTTACTTTTTCCCGCCAAAACAGGTGCACCTGCTAGAAGCCTTTTACACACACAGTACAGAGACAGAGAGGATTTTTGCAGTCTACTTCTCATATTGAGGATTCCCCTCAAGCAAACGGCCATCATTGCCTAACCGTAGGGGCTAGAACGGTCATTCTGAAACCGTTTTGTTCAGAAGAGATGGGGGAATCTTGAAATGTTGACCATTTATAATTAAAATATGAATTATTAAAGATATATGACTTCTAATTTAACATAACTGAGTAGAGGAGAAGCAAAAACTGCCTTGACTTGCCCTCAAACAACGTTTTCTAACTCTAAATCTATTTGGAGCATCAATATCATTCGTTCACCATACGATAGAGGAGGCTTTGGTGAACAATCATGGAAATTTCCAGGTCTCTGTGGAAATCCATCAAAAAGATATGATGAGAGAAGAAATGGCTTCATTTCTAGAGTTTGAAATCTGTAGAAATCTGAGCGAGGGACGAATAAGGTGATGAAACAATTCTTGAATTGTGAGCATCAGGAGTGTCTGAAGATATATTGGCACAAGCCTCATGTCTCAACTTTGCTTTGTTAAGGAGATATGACAATTTGAAAATGCCTCTCATTACAGAATTCCAGCAGTGATTTTGAACAAACTCTCCATTGACTGTTTATGGAGAGTTTTCAGACTTTGTGTTGCTCTGAGGAGATTTGCCACAATTATAATTCACCCTAACTCCAAGAACAATAATAGTGACATTTTCTGAAAGCCAGCAAAATTGAAAAAAGAAAATTGAGGGAGTAGCAAGAAGTTGTTCGGACATGAGGAGAAAATTCAGAAAGGACCAGTGGTCACTCTTAGTTAATTCCATAGCAATCATAACAATGCATGTATTTTCTGAAAAATCACAAAGATGAAAGTCAAAAACTTTATTGTGTGGATGCTTAATCAGCATCCACACAATAAACAGAAACAGGAACTCAATAGTGTGGCTGCCTAACACATCCACACAATAATAATAACAATAATAATATTAATAATATTAATAATAATAATAATAATAATAATAATAAGAAGAAGAAGAAGAAGAAGAAGAAGAAGAAGAAGAAAAATAAATCATAGGAATAATAATAAGTCCGCCTCTTGGCCTAGGCACACTTAATAAGAAGAATAAATCTGAGGAATAGTAATAAGTGTGCCTCTTGGCATATGCACCCTTAATAATTATAAGAAGAAGTAGAAATCTGCGAAATAGTAATAAGTGTACCTCTTGGCATAGGCATACTTAATAAGAAGAAGAAGAAGAAATCTGAGGAATAGTAATACGTATGCCTCTTGTCATAGGGACACTTCACTAGAAAAAGTAGCATTTGCTGCAGTGCAGTGTGAATGCCGTGTATTGGAATCTGCTGAAAACAGCTGAAGAAGTCAAACTATGTGCTGAAAGGAGGTGAAAAAACCGGAAATTCTGCAGAAAAGAGGTGAAAAGCCAAAAATGCTGCTGAAAAGGGGTGAAGACGCTGAAATTTGTACTGAAAAGGGGTTTCTGCTGAAAAGAAAAGTTGCCCTGAGCAGGGTTCGAAACCAGGCCTTCTGGTCTCAAGGAAGCTACTCATCTCACGGAGCCAAACTGGTTGCCAGAAAACGAAAAAGAGATGGAGAAACCAACAATTCTGCTGACATGAGCAGAAAAGGCTGAGATTTGTGCTGATAAGAGGTAAAAGGGCTGAAAATTCTGCTGAAAACAGGTGAGCGTTTTGAATTTTCTGCTAAAAAGAAGCGAGGACACTGAAAATTCTGCTGAAAATAGGCCAAGAAGCTGAAAAATCTGCTGGAAAGAGGTGAATCAACAGGACGTCTACTGAAAAGAGGTGGTGAAGCTGAAGTTTCTGCTGAAAACAGCTGAAAAAGCTGGGATTTGTGCTGAAAAGGGGTGAAAAAAATGAAAATTCTGCTGG